GCGGTATCTATCGACGAGAACTTAAGGGCCCAGTCCCTTTTGATTGCATCATACTGGCTTTAACCTGCTGAATGTATGCTTTCCAACGTCCAGGTGCAGCTCCAGCTGCGAAAGGTTTCGAACACTTCAACACGTCCAAACACAGAGCATTGAAACAATGACGTTGTAACCTCTGTTTCCTTGCTGCCCTTTGAACGACGCTTGACCACACGCTTTTCAGGAGGATCATAAAACCCTTGAGATTCTATGGTTTGAAGGGACGTTTGACCTTGGTGCTTGATATAAATTACGTCATATGGAATGTACTTCCCTTTACCGATGCCATAACATTTCCAAACTCTCAGACCGGTATCTCCATATTCGAAGTTGTGGAAGCTACTAAAATGCTCAATCTTATCTATACAGAGAGTGTTCTTTGATTCGTCTACTATTCTTACTGCAGCTGTTGTTCCCTTCACTGGGTGTTTCGTCAATGCGTATCCTCTGTCCAATGAAAGCTTTAACAGCCTCGCTGAAGACTCGCTACAGACTGAAACCTCTCTGGTTTCGAAAAAGCACTTGCATGCCATACTACACTTGCAGGCCTTCCAAAAAAAATAAAGGGTCAGCGGGTTCACCCGCAATGATTAATGCGGACCTCTCTTATGTGCGATAGTGTAATCGTTCAGCTTTAAATTCCAAAACGCCAAACTTCGACACATAGACTTACAAGTGGAGTTCTATGACTGATTCTTGAAGAGAATGCAGCTGCAATCCAAAGTTTCAACGGGACATTAAGCGCGAAACATGGCTTTAGTTTTCGAGTTTAGTTCGTAACAACGAGTCAAAGAAGAGTATCAACAGATGCCGACCGCTGAATTTTAGAGATATTTTCTGGAGTTATCATAAAGTCCAGTTCACCAGTTTGGGAAGCGAGGAATATCTGAAATTTCACATAAACCCATGATTTCTCCGGCTATTGACAGGTTGCTGTTCTGTGGACACAATCGACGCGGAACCGAGAGAAGCAAGCTCAGGATATTCGAAATTGGTTTATTAATTATATGATATCAAACTCCAGGTAAAAGCATTTATTCTTTTCATCCAAAATTTTTCTGCCCAAATATTACATTGGGATACAAAACAAAACCATAAGGCACAACGTAAGACACAAGCTATCAGCGGTCTTCTCTTTTGTGCGGACCTTTGTGAGAACAGTATAACATCGAACTGGATCTAAATTTAAGCGATTATTTCTTCACTTCAGAAGCCTAAAACCTTCATTTCTCCCTCAGCTTCCAGACATGGAGAGTTTATATTCTGATTTTGGAAAAAATTCAGCTCTGCAGCGATGTTAAATGGGTGATTCACCGCGAAATGTGGCCAATTCCGGCTTTTGATTTCATACCACGAATCACGATAGATGCCGCCTACTTTTCGAAGGCAATACCTAGCTATTTGTTGAAGTTATCATGGATTTCACCAATTTGGTTATTAGAAAAATTCTGAAGTGAGCCATAAAGCCGGGCTGCAAAGCGGGTAAGCTGTATTTGTGACGAAATCTGCTCCAGTGGTTCGATTTTGGTGTAGGCGAAAAAATCGCGAATGCTCGTACATGTGCTGATTCAAACGGTCATAACTTTTGAAAAATCGAAAACGTACAGGGGTTTTTGCATATTTTTGCCTATAAAGGTCTAAACTTAACGGCTGTGTAGGATAGAATCGTCAACCAGGTCCCAAATCCCAAAACTTAGCGTCTAAATCAAGGTTATTTACGGCCATCGACCGATGGCGATTTCTAGTGGTCAGAATATGCTAAAATTCGCCTTTTCAAATATGTTGAGAGGGCAAATTCTAACTTTCTTGGCAAACTAGAAAGGTTTTTAAGCAATCTGATATAAATTCTGTGGCTTAACTATGCGAATCAAATATTTTACAACGTTGCAAAATATGCCTATTTTTCAATTTTCGAGACGTTGCGACGGTCCCTACGGACTGGGAAATAATTATGGCCCGTAATGCAATCAGGAAATTATTTCGAATCAAACCAAATCTAATTTAGTTCTTTCCTAGGTAAAGTCTTTCTGTTAACAGAGTTTCAGGAAAAATTATTTTTGACGCAAAATTGACCGGGTGGAAATAAGAGAGACAGCCTCTTAATAAGCGGATGTAAATTCTTCCGCTGAGTGCACTTCACGGAAACAAAGACCAGGGAAGCGGATGTAAATTCCATCACCCAGTTTAATCTTCCTGTTTATCATTTTGAGCAATAGAAGGAATATAACTGTGATAGAACTTCTATTCCATAAACTATATTGTCACATCAAGAACATGACGATGACTTTTTCAGTCCTTCCTGTTATTTTTTAAGTGCACGAGTTTCTGCCTTTTGTTGGTTTCCCAATGATTGTAAGAGTATCTGACCAATTTGTAGTAGGGAACTGGTAGCTAAGGACATGATGATGTAATGCTCTGCAGCGCTTGAAATATTAACTGAAAAACGCAACATTATAGCACATTCAGCGATAGAAGCCTATTACCAAGGGTGAAATAAGGTAGCGGAGAGTTATTTAAAATCCTAACACACGATGATAAGGCCGGAAGTTGAAAATTTTTGAGCACTATAGAGGTTTCGGAGGTCATTACTACTCAGTGTCACAAGCAATATCAAATTGCGGAACATTTCGAAATTTGCAATCAATACCTCAGCATAGTCAGCTAACTGATATTTAAGCAGTAAAAGTGGTTGGGTAAAGACACAGCTCTTCGACTATCCTTCCATCAGGACCAGAGATATACAGAGAAACATGAGTGATGCGTCAACTCTCCCAACGAAATTTTACATAGACTTTGGAATCGATCCAGATTCGTTTCGATCAGCCTTCCAAGATGCTGGTAACGCAATGTATCGCTTAAAACTTGGTTGGTCATTAGGCTTTACTCATGCGGTGTTGACAACCGGTGATAAACCTAAAACAGTGGCTTCAGTTGGAGGGCATCCCCTAGAGGCAAGTGCTACCGGTGAGTTGTGGAAAAGGTGCACTAAAGGGAAACCTGTCACTGAAGAGTATTGCTGTGTACATAACTGCACCAACCCTAATTGTAAACCAACGAGCCCTCAAAAGACAGGAGCCACTGCACATGTCTACGCTTCGTTTCAAACGCCAGAAAAGGACATCCGCTTCATGATACTGCTCCCAACATGCAGTGCCGATAACCATGCAGGAAAATGTCGCAAAGAGGAAGTCAACTTTGCTGAAACAGGCAAAGACGCGTATGTGTTGTACACAGCTCTTAGTGATCCGCCTCCTCGAGTTATCTTCATCGAAGTATCAGACGCCACGGCTTCTGGAAAAGGCAGTAAGGGTAAAGGCACCGGGAAAGGCGGAGGATTGAAAGATGATTATTCCCCTGGTCCACCAGTAGGAGCCAAATAGCTGGTGTGCACAAGTGAGACGATGTTATCAAGATAAAGTGAGTAATGATGATTCATATCATCGGTTTAAGACTAAACAGTTATAAAGATACTTTTCTAATAAGGAACGGAAGAGTAAATTGTAGTCTCGTCGGAATTATATGCTGAATAGTGCAAGCCTTTCTAACCTAGCAAAAAAATTATTAAGTAAGTATGCAATGCGATTGGAATGCCCTCAGTTGGCGTTGTTGTATTTGTGATGGTTTCCTCAGTCCTCAGTGTAAGGCGTAATTTACGTGTAACGGATGCAACTTAAATAAGTAATAGAAAAAAAGTTTGATAAAGGCTTGCTGTTCATATTTCTACAAAAATCGAACATCTGCAGGGGCTTTTAATCTTTCAACACCCAGGAAGTAAGGGAGGGTAGGAAGGGGGAAGCTTCTGATCCCGTTTCACGCATGAACTTGTGAGGAACTCATGTGTCACGTTTCAAATTTCTCTACTTGTGTATAAGATTTCGGGGAAATCATGAGATTTCACGCTAGTTCATAAATTCACGAATCACGCTTGCTCTTCCGTAGAATTCACGCGTCACATGTTGATTTGGATTTGATGATGCGTCTCCTATAAACTCTTTTCCACCCTCGCAAAGGCAACGGAATTGCACCACGACTGCCAAACCTCTAAGCAAGGGTCACCGAATGACGAACAGTGTAACAAAATGCCTGACAACTCGCGCATGCATAGGAATCTTTGTTAGAGTTATTCCCCTGGGGAGGAAATCATGAGTCTCAAAAAAAGAAAAAGACGCGATTGCTGCAAAAGAGAAACCAATTTATTAACTGTATTGAGACGAAAGTTAACCCTAAGCATATCAGAAAGTAAACTTGAAAAATTGTCCTAGCCCTTTGGCTTATCGTTACTCGCTAAGTTCTCTGCATCGTTAAGTTTGCGTTAAGTAACAAATATTTCCCGCTGCACAAGTACCTCTAAGGATGACCGACACAGTTTCATTATTTACGCGAACGTACTGCTGTTCTTGATTCAAATTTTCTTTTTTGTCCTTGCTATTTTAGGTAGAATAACATCTTACAAAATCTTAGGTGATTCGCACGTGCGCCAAATTAGTTTAGCCTTTCCAGCTTTGCAGATATCACTTCGCTGTCTTTGTGAGCTAAGAAGTACATGACATGTCAAAATGATGTACCAACAAAACGTTGCACACGAGACGCAGGCGAGAGTGTAACTGATCATTGATTCTCTCAACACTTCAAGTTGACTTAGTATCCGATCTATTACCAAAAGGGCCCACGGCATTGAATTTATCTGTTCGTTAGCTAGACAGGGGTAAAATACTTCGTGAAAAAAACTGTGTACGTATTTTCAATGTCGGTTACACTTTCTAGATCCTTAAATCCCTCAAATGTTTTTTTCTTTTTTTCTGAAATAGTATGTAACGAATTTATCGCACGTGGAGTCAAGTGAGAAATTACAGTCAACTTGGAATCGCTTAAATATCTAAATTAAAGTCGTTTCGTTCTAAAACCGACTGTTAGGATGAAACTGGTTGATTTTTTGACTACATTAACAATTTTGCTCATTAAACCTACAACGCACTGTCATGCTGATATGCCTTGTTATCAGATCCAGGTATTTGTCCATACATTGGAGACACATAGCTCTGTAAAACATAGATAACCAAGATCAGTTAGGCGAGGATAAATAAATATAATTATCTTAGAGACCATCTATTTTTTATCGTTGGGAGGGGGAATGTGGTCTCGTTACGAGAAAATCTACCTAAGGCTCTATGGCATTCTAATGATCCTCCCCCACCCCCCTCTCATTGGCAGTCAATTTTCTGAGTTCTCTCATTTATACTCTGCTAGCAACGAATGGCACCCCCTGTTCCCCTGGAAATCCATGTGATCTCAAGAAAACACTGCTCAACAAACCTGCGGTCCGTTACGACTCTTGTAACCAGGCTGAGCCCTCAAGCCATTATGCCCGTTCTCCATTACTTCCCATTCTCCATTAAGGGCATACAACTCCTTCTTTTCACCCTGAACAGCGTTTCTGTATTTCACCTGTTCAAATAGAGACGAGTAAATGAAAAAAACGCTCGTGCAACTTTTAAGCAGTAAACTACACAGCCTGTGTGCCTAAATGTCTTTGTTGCGATGACGCTTCAAGATAATTTTTAGTCCTTGACATGATAGAAATATGTCGGAGCCATACCGTGCGCCATCATGTTCTACAACCTACCTATCGTAATGATGATAAAAATTTTCGCGCCCAAGAAATGAATAGAAAGTTCAATTTTTTCCCACCACTTCTCTCTCAAATGCCTTCTGCCGCTTCCATACCCCACCAAAATAAATGGCGCGACAGTAAAGTTCTCAATCATTTGATTTCGAGTGAGCAACAATTGACACCAAGAACTTAGACCAGCCAATTACATGAATGTAATTGAAACAGGGTGTGCATGAGTATCTGTCGCCGAGCACGCCAAATTCGATCCTTTCAGATAAGTCCATGATTGGTAGTTTTGATGATTCAAATACGCATCGCAAAAATGCAAAGAAATTATCTGAATACTCACTGCCAAAACACCAATAGCCACTATTAGAAAAAAGACAATTGTTGCAGCTGCGATTAGCACGATCTCCCAGTCCTTGATTGTCGATTTTTCTGTAAAAGGAAGTGAGAGAGAGAGCCCTGAGAACAGGAGATCTTATCATAACTGAAGATGGCGCAAAACATCATGCAGATAAATGTTTTTTTAGTCACAACAAGCCCACGATGTTAAGTGTGGATGCTATTTGTCTCTGCCACCGTGAGCTGGGTTTTTTCGAAATCAACTTTGACTTCAGATTTCTTGAAAGTGTTGATCAGCTCTGAAACATATTTCTTGTTTTTCGACTTAGCGGTAAGCTTCTTGCTCCGCAGATCAATCGGTTGCGTAAACAGAACAAGAAAGATGATTATATCAGTTAGTGGTTTCACCATATATCTCGAGGCTGGAGGTTATTGCCCAAGTAAGCACAATGTACCAAAGACCTGAGATATGAATGTTCTATGCCTATACCGCGGATCTAAAGCACGGCCTGAATCCATAGTTAGTGGTAAACCGCATGAAAGGCCTCATACCGGCCAAATACATAATCAAAGAAATAGATAAGAATAAGCGCAATTGTTGATTTGAACATTTGCGCCTACATACTGGTAGCAGAACCGGCCATGCAGCCTAATCATGGCCTGGCTTCGCTCGTTTTCGTTGATGTGATGGAAGGTATAGGAAGGTATAGGAAGGTATAGGAAGGTATAGGAAGATAGAGGACAATCTCGGGCCGTCTGTTACTGTCCCTTCTATCGTCGGAACAGATACAGAGTCAAGGGCGAACTTTTCAAACGAAATATACTCAGCATAAATTGTGGAAATGTTCCTTAAAAGTATAGATGTCCCAAAGAGAGGTTCCAGCCGGAAATATGATAATCTTCATTTCGTGTTAGTATAGTTAAACGGATAAGGTAGTGGATATTTTAAAGCAAGTCAAATTACCCTGAACAACATAACAACATAAAAGCAACATGAAAAATAGAAAGGCACTGTAAGTTACCTGTGGTTGCAGTTGGTGCTGCTGTCATCTGAACGACCTGCTTCGTTACGGTTATATCTCCCGTCAGCCTCAAAAACCCCAGATCGCTCGAGCCATTACCTTCCTTAAGAGCTTGCACGATGTTGCTATCAGTCACATTTGTGGTTGTTGGAAATAGCAATTCATAGTCAACTCCAACACTTCCTTTGAAAAACCTCTTGTAAATAATATCTATTAAATCTGGAAACTCCTTTTTTAAAAATACTTTTAATTTCGAGTCCAAAACTGTAATGAGGGCACGAGATCTTGGTGAGTTGATATCATTATACTCCTCGTCATAAGCTTGATCCAGTTTCACTCTGCCGGCAAATTTTTGGGTAGGCTTCTCTGTATAAAAAAGATCAACGATAACATATCAACATATGGAAACGATTAAAAAAAAGTAGAAAAGAAACAGCGAAAACGACATATTAGACTCCGATACAAGTCAAACGCGTCGATTTTGGACTGAGGACGACAACATCCATAAGCAGCGTGCAAAAACAGAGTACGAGGTCCAAGAAGGGATAAGAAAGCTTGCGAGAAAACGGATCAAATTCTTCACTGTTTTCCTTGTCAAGTGCTGTATTCATTCAGCCTGCTTTCCTTCAACAAAATTTATCAGTTATCACCATATCATGTTGTTGGGCACAGGTACAGTACCGTGCATAGCAATGCAAACGTTAGTCGTCGATTATCGAGAAAGTCGCGATTTATCGGCGACATTCGAATAATATTTGAGTTGGAATGATATATCGGCGATTTGTAATAATAGTAATGATGACGATGATAATAATAGTAATAGTGTTAATACTGAATATTTTTACAGGGTAGCCCCTCGGTACATACATAGCTCTTTACCATCTAATCCGCTTGATATTTTTGCTTTTCCAAACAGCACCATATCACTTTTACCTTTCTTGAGATTGATGATAAATTCGTTATCTAGAAACCAACTAGCGAGAGGTTGTGTTAAAATCAAGGTTAACTTAAAAAAACGTCAGAACACGCTTTTCTAACTACTACGTGGACACATGTGTTATTCCCTACTTAGCAGTACTTCGTTGGAACGATATATTACTGGAACGGGAAATGTCAGACAAGCCCATACCTGATTGGCAGGTTGTCCCTTCAAACGCTGGAGTGCATGTACATCTGAACGTTTTACCATCTTCTGTGCAAGTTCCATCGTTTCCGCATGGGTTTGGACTACAGGCACTGATTTCTAAGGACAAAGACGCGATAAATTCAGACGGGATTGGGATGTCTACGTTTATGTGTTAGACATATGTTGTCTTCATTGGTATAACCAAATACGTTTGTTTATATACTTTCAAATCAAATCAGTGCCCATAATTGCTAAGCTTTCGCTAAATTTTCGAAGAAGTAAACGTAATGTCGCTTATTGACCATCGCCTTCAAGTCTAAAAACATCAATGATATCCTTTAATACGGCTACACCAAGTAAACATTTTAAAATGAAAGAAATGTGAGCTAAATTTAAAAAAAACAAGTGACAAATACAGAGATATTTATTTGCCTTCAATCTTCCTCTCTAAATTCGATCAGATATTTCTTTGCTTTTTCGCAAAAGTAGAAATGGTTCCTAAGTTTAAAGTGTCGTTATGAACATCTAACGAGACTTACTTTTCTCACAATTTTCTCCAAAGTAATTATTTCTACATTCACATAGAAATCCATCTATTTTGTCAATGCACACTCCATTTCCTGAGCAGTTTTCGTATTCACAGTCATTAATATCTATGACAGCAAAAAACAACAACAACAACAGTTAGCATTGTTTACCAGCGCCGGTATTGTATTAAAAACAAAATCTAAATGCATTCATCACTTACTTGTGGAGCAATCACTTCCAGTAAATCCTGGAGAACACGTAGGTGCTACCGTTGGAATAATGCTAGTCACCATTGGAGCCATTTCGCTAACAGATGGCGATGGCATCGTATGCACCATTGATGACATATCACTTGCAGATTGTGATGGCATCATATGCATTATTGATGTCATTTCACTTGCAGATGGGGATGGCACCATATGCACCATTGATGATATGTCACTTTCAGATGGGGATGGCAACATATGCATCATTGACGTCATGTCACTTGCAGACTGTGATGGTATCATATGCATCATTGATGTCATGTCACTTGCAGATTGGGATGGCATCATATGCACCATTGATGACATGTCACTTGCAGATTGTGATGGCATCATATGCACCATTGATGTCATTTCACTTGCAGATTGTGATGGCATCATATGCATTATTGATGTCATTTCGCTTGCAGATGGGGATGGCAACATATGCACCATTGATGACATATCACTTGCAGATTGTGATGGCATCATATGCACCATTGATGTCATTTCACTTGCAGATTGTGATGGCATCATATGCATTATTGATGTCATTTCGCTTGCAGATGGGGATGGCAACATATGCACCATTGACGTCATGTCACTTGCAGACTGTGGTGGTATCATATGCATCATTGATGTCATGTCACTTGCAGATGGGGTTGGCATCATATGCACCATTGATGACATATCACTTGCAGATTGTGATGGCATCATATGCACCATTGATGTCATTTCACTTGCAGATTGTGATGGCATCATATGCATTATTGATGTCATTTCACTCGCAGATGGGGATGGCATCATATGCACCATTGATGACATATCACTTGCAGATTGTGATGGCATCATATGCACCATTGATGTCATTTCACTTGCAGATGGTGATGGCATCATATGCATTATTGATGTCATTTCACTTGCAGATGGGGATGGCATCATATGCACCATTGATGACTTGTCATTAGCCAATGGGGATGGCGTCATATGTACCATTGGTGATTTGTCATTAGCCGATGGGGATGGCGTCATATGCACCATTGATGACTTGTCATTAGCCGATGGGGATGACATCATATGCAACATTGATGTCATGTCACTTGCAGACTCTGATGGCATCATATGCATCGTTGATGACATGTCGCCTGCGCATACAAATTCAATATTTTAATTGCATGACATATTTCATACCTCCATAACTTTAGCTTACCTTCCATTAAATAATTGCATTTAAGTTCATAACATGAGTTCGTATCGACTTACCACCTGGTAGTGTCAGCAGGATGCATGCAACAAGAGCAACAAATTGCTTCTTTAGGAGCTGAGCCATCTTTGTCGTGATGCGGTCAAAAGAGTGCCAAAGGCTGTCGAAGAATATTAGCTGAATTTCCTCTTATAATGGTCTGTGTGATATTAATTCGTGGCTGGCAAAAGCTTGTGTGCAAAGGGAGAAAAAACATTATTATTATTAACATTATAACATTAACTAATGGAATATAATGTCCAGTTGCTTTCTCCTGCTTGACCTCAATATTTTTAAAATTTGATATCGCTTATAATGCCTTTTTCTTCTTTTTCTTCTGCAATCGTTCGGAGAAAGCCTCGTGGTTTCATTTAGGTTTCCTCTCCATAAAATGTATTGAACTTAGCTTGTTACACTTCCTCGTAATTTTTTTCTTTTACTTTGGCAAATAAATAAATAGAAAATTAATAGATGAATAACAATTTTATTATAAGACAAAACAGTTTTTGTTTTGCGAGAAATTTTTCGACACTAGTCATGACCTCTTCGGTTGCCAATGCTCGTGTAACAATTTGAAATTAACTTAACAAATACGTGAACTACAATGAAAGAATATAAAACGAAATACGAAAATAAAACGGAAGTACATTTTCAAAATTATATTAAACTCTATTTAGGAGACGAAATAAATTCTGAATGCTGATTGCAAAAAATGACAACAATGCTGGACCTTGTGGTTTTGCGTTTTCGGTCAGGCAACTTATCTATACATACACGTGTATATAATTTATTGAAACAATTATTGTTCAAAGACCTGACAATATCGATATATATCATCGACCCGCCGGAAGTCTAAACTTATCCCGGCGCAGCACACGAAAAGCAAATTAAAAGGGTAATCATTGAAAAAATGCAAAATGACATGAGCACACGGTAATTTTTTTTTTCACAGTATTCTATCAAAAAGTTATAAATATGATAGAGATTCTATAAGAGAACGGAGCGACTACGTACTGTTCAGACATTTTGTACAGACAAATTATTTTTTATGAGATCCAGGATCAATAGGGTTGCGAAAAAAATGATTCTATGAAAAAAAATTTACACATGAATAAATGAAGTGATAAATTAACTAATCAAATAAAGAAGTAAAATATAAAGTGTCGGAGAAGATGCTATCAGCAGGCAAATTTCTCTCCATGATTATATCAAGATTACGATCTTAGGAAGTTGGAGAGGCATAAAGAGTGATTTCTTAAATTTTTTATTTTATTATTTGATGAGCGTTGTTTTTTCTACTGGAATTTTTTCCGTACTTTTGCTCCGAATCTTACAAAGGAATTATAGAGATTCTGAGTAAATTTACCCTGCCTCGGCCTTGATTTTTCTGGTTATCACAAAAACCTCACCCAATGATTGTTTATAAATCAGTTTGTAATCATAATGCAAAAAACCCCATTTGCCGATGAGTTACGTCACCGCACTTCCTTCCACGTCAACGGTATCTGCGATATTGATCGGTAAAGAGGAATGAGTACTATTCACGATTTTCACGAAGACATTTTCCGGGTCATTTCATGTTTGTTTTTGTATGTTACCTATACATGCAGGAAAGGTTGGAGACTGTCTCTTCCTCCCTGGCTGCGAGCCTCAATTCCGACGGCCCATAGAATCGAGATGGAGACAACAGAGCTAACAGAGCGAAACACTCTTCTCTAATTCACTCAGCGAGTTAATGTGAAGGTAAAGCCAAATGTTTTGGTTTAGGTCGTTAATGAATAAACTCATTTTGGAAAGATGGTCCAATATGCTTAATGAAGAAGTAATGTAGAATAAGCAGTTATGAATATGGCTACTATCACGGGGTAGTTGTTTTGCTACAAGTGACCAGTTTGTCTGAGTTCTGTTGTCCCTTTATATTTCAACTGATAGCTGGTGTGATTCCGCATAATAATTGTCAGGTTGTATACAATAGTACTAGAGCTATTTTTGGATTGTACGTGGTCTCTTTGTTGAGCGCAAAATGCAAATTAACAAGAAGCTGTTTAAGAATACCGTGACGTTTGAGGAAAGCATCATTTACCGATATGACGAAGCAAAAACAACCAAAAGTGAAAAAGGTAACCAATATGTATGAAAATGGACAAATGTCTTGATACTGAAAGATTACTTTTATTTATTTGGAAGAGGTACTGATCTAAAACTTAGTTCCTATCAACGAGCTGACCAGGCATTTGAAACTGACGTGGAGGTTAATAAATGCACTGCACATTCGTTCTGCGGTTAGCTTCGCAAACTTATATGTTTTTCCTCTCGGGAATGCAAGATACGACCCTGACTTAGTCGTTGATTATGTTCCCTGAAGGCTTGTTTTTTAATTTAAGTTTTCAACGTTCATTCCAGTTTCTTTATATTTATTCTTCTTATGCCTGCGGAATTTCTTTTATGTTTATTTATCCAAAAAAGATGCCTCACGTTTGAAAATAAACCTAATATAAGAAACCCACGAATTCGTCACACTTTTTTGAAATTCTCTCTTGAAAAAAGTTCCGCGCTGGTCAAACAATAACTGTTAAGACGCGAACCCATAGATTTTTTTGAATCTGATCTGTTTTCTGTCGCATAAAACCACTAATGTTGCAGTAAAAACTAACAGATGCTTCTGTTTAAGTAAAAAAAAAGTGCCGTCGTAAACGCTACGAATTGTATGAAGCTTAGAAAAGCCGCCTGATTCACTTGATGCAAAGTAACGATGTTGGCCTGCTATAAGACATCAGAAACTGGTGCGTGAGTCAGCCAATCTTATCTGATTTCACTCACTACCGATCAAACAACTGGCATCGGTCGAAAGTTAGATATTTGCATCTTATTACGATAAAATAACAAGAGATTTTCAAAGAAGGAAACCTTACCTTCCAGACCTGTCTTTACACGCGAAGATGCCAATGAGGAATGAAAATGACGAGCAAACGTCAATGTATTATACGTCAGATAAAGTTCTTAATGCGGAAAGACGAAATATTTAGGTTTGCCGGTCACGGGCCGTGATCGCATAAAACGCTTATGGGAGTCTTTAAAAATGCAATGCTTGGAAGGAGTGCTTTCTTTTCTTTTTGCCAATATTTCCTTCGTAAAAACTCTCGTTTGTCTCAGGTCAGAATAAAAATTTACTCTCCGATCGATGCTGGTCTATAGGTCGCAGAAAATATCAAACTATGGGCAGCGGTCCAAAAGCTTCTCTCTATGTTTCAGGACACGGTTGAAAAACTCGGATTTGTTCCCCTTTCAATTGCTGTGTAAGTAACGCGCAACTTTGGTTAAAAATAAAACCAAAGAAATGCTTTCAAAACGAAGGAGTGGGAAATGTTACAAAAATAAGGAGGGAAAGCGATAAAACGATTCACTTAGCAAATTAGTTATAACAAAACATGTTTATCTATTTTTCGGGTATCAATACATTTTTAAAGTGGTGCTTCTTGCGGTCAGCTTAATAAAGGCTTGTTAACAATAACTGTGAACAATAAGCTTCTTTAAAAAGGCAAGTTTTAATTTAAAAGAAAACAGTTACTTCTATTTGAGTCCACAACATTTTGACCACTGTGATGACGATTATAATCAGTAAACCTCGCGAAACCACTGTTAAATTGGTGCATGATGTTCGAATAAAATTAAATGAGGTTTACCTAATAAAGATGTCATGTCTCAGGGTTGTTTCCGCTCCTCAAGGATCAAACCTTATCTAAACAGGATGACCGGATAATGTTAGTAGCAAGCAAGGCGTATACAAACAATGTGTTTAAAATCCTTTTAGACTGGAAACTGTGCACCTGCGAAGAAATTCGATAACAGCAATCATTAACCACCGAGCTACAATCTTCTCGGCAAAGTGGCCAATGATATGGGCTATTTGGATACGTGCGCTAAGTGGCCTAGCAACCTTCAAGACTATGTTGATAAAACCCAGCTAATTGTTGTGGTAAGGAGCATGGCTATGTTCTTCCTGGAACTCTTTGATGTGCGGACTGAAAAGAAGTAACTAAATTGCTGCTAGATTTCAGTGGCTAAGCGACTTGATGTGACTACAAGGCTACAGTTGTACGTGGTTGCATGTCAGTTCCTCCTAGGCTGGCTGCTAACTGTATAAATAGTTACGACATGACCAGATAGCTACATAGCTCCATCAGCACATGATCACCTGGTTGCCTAACCGTATAGAATCGTTACTGCGTGACACCTGTACATGTGACTACAGGCCTAGAATGTTAACTAGGACTTAGATGGACAGTGAAGAAAATTATCGTAAGGAGTGATATTTTGTTCAGGACAAAATAGAAGCCAATCGCTCCGAAGTGTTGAACGGTTACAAGAGGTTGATACCAAAAGAATCAGGCATTTTGGGGGCTAAATGTTTACTGTTACTCTTAACCATTTAAACCCTAAGAGTGACTAGCATCTAATTTCTCCCTACAATATCACTTCTGAATCGCACATTAAGGTCATGAGAATAAAGGAAATGATCAGCACCCCAGGAAATGTATAAAGAACAGTGTGGAGAATATGCATACTGATGCTAAGGTATGAGGGGTTAACGTGATGAAAAAAAAAAAGATACGACAATACGACAGATACCGTTAACAGAGATTTAATTAACGGTATAAATATGAGAAATGAATTCCGAGAATTTTCCACTGACCGATTCATAAAGACTGGCCGTTTGACAGAGGTCCGCTCAATGGAGGTTTGACCGTACAACACCAACTTATTACAAGTAGACAACAGTCAAATAGTAAGGAGACCTCAGCTTAGATCAAAAGAGATGAAACGAAGTCACGAAGACAGGAACGTTCAATGAAAAGACGTGAATTCCTTTGATAAAACTGGTCGTTGATTGATTTATTAGTGTTTTCACTGATAAATAAAACGCGGAATAAGGACAGACCAAGCCGGAATTGCGTCACAATATATAATTAGAGGATGTAAATTTTTTCACTGAGTGCACTTCAATAAAACAAAAACCAGGAGAGCGAATGTAAATTCCATGACCCAATTTAATCTTCCTGTTTATCATAACAGAAGCAATGTTACTGCGACACAACTTTTATTCCATAAACTATAGTGTCACACCAAGAACATTACGATGACTGTTTTGGTACTTGCTGTTGTTTATAAAGTGCACTAGTTTCTTTTGTTGGTTTCCCAATGATTGATGAGAGTATCAGACTAATTTGTAACTAGGGACATGATGATGTAATGCTCTGCAGCGCTTGAAATATTAATTAAAAAACGCAACATCATGACATATTTAGCGATAGAAGCCTATTACCAAGGGTGAAATAAGGTGGTGGAGGGTTATTTAAAATCCTAACACATCATGATAGGGCCTGAAGTTGAAAATTTTTGAGTGTTTTATAGATTTCGGTGGTCATTACCACTTTGTGTAACAAAGAATACCAAGAGAGCGGAACATTCCGAAATTTGCAAACAATACCTCAGCATAGTTAACTAACAGATATTTAAGCAGGAAAAATAGTTGGGGAAACAGAAAGCTCTTCGATTATTCTTCCATCAGGAACAGAGATATACAGAGAAACATGACTGATGCGTTAACTCTCCACCTGATTTTTACAAAGACTTTGGAATCGAACAAGATTCAATCAGCCTTCCAAGATTCTGGCAACGCAATGTTTAGCTTAAGACCTGGTTGGTCATTAGGCTTTACTCATGCGGTGTTGACAACCGGTGATAAACCTAAAACAGTGGCTTCAGTTGGAGGGGAGCCCCTGGAGGCAAGTGCTGCCGGTGAGTTGTGGAAAAAGTGCACCAAAGGGACACCTGTCACTGAAGAGTATTGCTGTGTACATAACTGCACCAACCCTAATTGTAAACCAACGAGCCTTCAAAAGGCAGGAGCCACTGCACATGTCTACGCTTCATTTCAAACGCCACAACATGACATCCGCTTCATGATTCTGCTCCCAACATGCAGTGCTGATAACCATGCAGGTAAATGTCGCAAAGAGGAAGTCAACTTTGCTGAAACAGGCAAAGACGCGTATGCGTTGTACACAGCTCTTAGTGATCCGCCTCCTCGAGTTATCTTCATCGAAGTATCAGACGCCACGGCTTCTGGAAAAGGCAGTAAGGGTAAAGGCACCGGGAAAGGCGGAGGATTGAAAGATGATTATTCCCATGGTCCACCAGTAGGAGCCAAAATAGCTGGTGTGCACAAGTGAGACGATGTTATCAAGATAGAGTGAGTAATGATGATTTTCCCCCTGGTCCAGCAGATGGAGCCTTGATAGCTGGCGTGCACACTGTAACCAGTGCCGAGTGAGACCATGTTGATAAGATAAAGAGTCCGCAGTGATGGCTCATATCATCGGTTTAAGACTAAACAGTTATAAAGTCGGTTTTAATAATGATGAAGGGCAGAGTATATCGTAGTCTCCACGGATTTAAATGCTAAATAGTATAAGCCTTTTTAATCTAACAAAAAAAATAGTAAGTGTGCAATGCGATTGGAATGCCCTTAGTTGTTATATATGTAATGGTTTTCTTAGTCCTCAATGTAAGGCGTAACTTTCATGTGACGGATGCAACTTAAATAAGCAATAAGAACGAATGACAATGGCTCGCTGTCCATATTTCTACAAAAATCGAACCTCCGCAAGGCCTTTAATCTTATTTCAACACCCAAAAAGGAGGGGTAGGTGGGGGATAAAGGGGGGTGCTTCTGCATGATCTTGTTTCATGCATGAGTTTGTGAGGAATTCATGCTTCACGTGTAAACCCTTTTCCACCCTCGTAAACGCCATAAACTCGCACCACAGCAGCCGGTATAACATCTAAGCGGTCACCTAAAGACGAACGGTGCAACAAAATGTGTGACAACTTGCTCATGCATGGGAATCCTTGTTAGAGTTATTCCCCTGGTGAGGAAATCATAAGTCTTAAAAAAAGAAAAAGAAAAAGACACGATTACTGCAGAAGGAAAGCTAATTTATTTGCTGTATCGAGAAGAAGGCTAAGAGAGATGACCACCCCGCATTTTAAAGAGTAAACTTGCCCTGTTACTCGCTAAGTCCTCCGCATCCTAATCATGCATTATGCAAAATGCCGAACTGACAATCTCTGGGTTGCGCATAAGCACACCGTAGTAAAGTCACCTCGCTAAAGAGAAAGAGCATTAAGGAAATAATGAGTCTCAAAAAAAGAAAAAGACGCGATTGCTGCAAAAGAGAAACTAATTTATTAGCGGTATTGAGATGAAAGCTTAGAAAGGTGACCACCAAGTATATCAAAGAGTAAACTTGAAAAACTGTCCCAGCCTTTTAGCTTATCTTTACTCGCTAAGTTCTCTGCATCGTGAAGTTTGCGTTAAGTAACAAATATTTCCCGCTGCACAAGTACCTCTGAGGATGACCGACAAACAATTTCATTATTCACGCGAACGTATCGCTGTTCTTGATTCAAATTTCCTTTTTTGTCCTTGCTATTTTAGGTAGAATAACATCCTATAAAATCTTAGGAGATTTGCACGTGCGCCAAATAAGTCTAGCCTTTCCAGCTTTGCAGATATCACTTTACTGTCTCTGTAAGATAAGAAGTACATGACATGTCAAAATGATGTACCAACAACCACCCAAGACGCAGGCGAGAGTGTAACTGACCACAGATTCTCTCAACACGTCAAGTTGACTTGATATCCGATCTGTTACCAAACGGGCCCACGGCATTGAATTTATCTGTTTGTTAACTGGACAATGGTAAAATAAATTCTTGAAAAAAAACTGTGTACATATGTTCAGTGTCGGTTACACTTTCTAGATCCTTAAATCCCTAAAATGTTTATCTTTTCTCTTTGAAATAGCATGTAACGAATTTATCGCACGTCAAGTTAAGTGATACCTCAGAGAAACAAACTTATATTACTATCAGCTTGGAAACGCTTGAATATCTAAATTGAGGTCGTTGTGTTATAAAAGCCCAATGTTAGGATGAGGCCACAGAGTTGTAAGAGGCGTTTTAAACTGGCTGATTATTTCGACCTCGTTGATGATTTTTGTTTTTCATTAAATTTACAATGCACTGTCATGCTGATATGCCTTGTTATCAGATCCAGGTACTTTGTCATACGTTGGAGACGCATAGCTCTGTAAAAAAAAGATACCAAGATCAGTTAGGCGAGGAAAAATCAATGGAAATGTCTTGAAAACCATCTATTTTTTATCGTCGGGAAGGGGGGAAGGAATGTGGTTGCGTAGCAATAAAATCTACCTAATCCCCTTTCCTAAGGCTCTGTAGCATTCTAATGACCCTCTCCCCCCCCTCCCCCACCCCTCATTGGCAGTCAACTTTCTATGTTCTTCCATTTAAACTCTGTTAGCAACAGATGGCATCCTTCGTTACCCCCACAAAACAATGTAAGCCCCAAAAGACACTGGTCGACAAACCTGCGGCTGAGCCCTCAAACCATTATACCCGTTTTCCATTAGTTGCCAGTCTCCATCAAGGGCATACAATTCTTTCTTTTCATCCTGAACAGCGTTTCTGTATTTCACCTGTTCAAATAGAGAAGGGTAAATGAAAAGAACGCTCGAGCAACTCTTAAGCAGGAAACTACACCGCCTGTGCCTAAATGTCTTTATAGCCATAACCCTGCTTGATAATTTTCAGTAGTTGACATGATAGAAATATGTCGGAGCCATGCCGTGCACCATCATGTTCCTACAACCAACCCATCGTGATGAAAAAAAAATTTCACGCCCAAGAAACGAATTGAAAGTTCAATTTTTTCCCACCAGCTCTCTCTCAAATGCCTTTCGTCACTTCCTTACCCCACCAATATAAATGACGCGACAGTAAAGCTCTCAATCATTTGATTTCAAGCGAGTGACAAATTGTCACCAAGAACTTAGAGCAGCCGATTACATGTATGCAATTGAAACAGGGTGTACATGTGTATCTGTTGCCGAGCACACCAAATTCGATCCTTCCATGGTTGGTAGTTTTGATGATTAAATACGCATTGCAAAAATGCAAAGAAATTAACTGAATACTCACTGCCAAAACGCCAATAGCCACCATTAGAAAAAAGACAATTGTTGCAGCTGCGATTAGCACGATCTCCCAGTCCTTGATTGTCGATTTTTCTGTAAAAAGAAAGTGAGAGAGAGAGAGCCCTGAGAACAGGAGATCTTATCATAACTGAAGATGGCACAAAACATCATCCAGATTTAGTCACAGCAAGCTCACGATGTTAAGTGTGGATGCTATTTGTATATGCAACTGTGGGCTGGGTTTTTTCGAAAGTCAGCTCTGATCCAGATTTCTTGAAAGAGTAGATCGGCTCTGAAGCACATTTCTTGTTTTACGATTCAGCGGTTGCGTAAACAGAATAAGAAAGATAGTTAGATCAGTTAGTTGTTTCACCACATTTCTCTAGGCTGAGGTTATTACTCAAGAAAGAACGATGTACCAAAGACCTGAGATATGAATGTTGTATACCTTTACCGCGGATCTAAAGCACGGCCTGAATCCATAGTTAGTGGTAAACCGCATGAAAGGCCTCCTACCGGCCAAATACGTAATCAAAGAAATATTTAAAATAAGCGCAAATCCTGTGACCACTCATTCACTAAATGTCACAGAAATTCTGCGACCACTCATACACTGGGTGTCGCAGAAACTCTGCGACCACTCATTCACTGGATATCGCAGAAATTCTGCAACCACTATTTCACCAGGTGAAATTCTGCGACCACTCATACACTGAATGTCACGGAAATACTTTGACCACTCAAACACTGGATGTTGTAGAAATTCTGCATCCTCTCATTCATTAGATGTTGCAGAAATTCACTCATGGCGTGATGGATACAGGAATACAACGGTTTTTCTCCAACCAGTCAGAAACAGATGCCACAAATATTCTGTCAATTAACTTTCATTAGAAATTATGTAACTAAAATAGCACGTGGCTCAATGCCACATGTTAAAATTTAGAATATTAAAATGTTAAGAAAGTAAGCAATACAACGTACAGTTCAAGTCACTTAACTTTATTTTATGATCAGATACAAAAACTGAATGAAAAATATTACTTTAATAAAATTGGAGTTTGTTATATAGCAAATAAGCAACCTCCTCTAGCCAAAAAAATTAACTAGTCACAATTTCAGTCCTTTGACCTATTTTAAAAGATTTGGCTTTTCTTATGGACGTTGAAAACCTCCAAATGGACAACTCGCGTTCTTTTCATCAAAGTAAGCGGTCAGATAACAAGCAATACGCTGTGGAAGTAAGGTGAGGTTTTTTTTTTTGAGAATTTCACGTATTATTTTAATTCCTTAGAGCGGTCGTAAATATTCCCATACAAACTCTTATAATTCCGCCATGACTGTTATTGCGCAAGATGATCATCTCACAGCTGGAGCTTGGGCCGCCTGTGTGCAATGTTGCCCAATAAGTCACAAACCAATGAAAGGGATGATGAACTGCAGACCCACTCTACAAAGCCATTGAGAGGACGCCTTCTGATTTTGACCGGGTTCTACTTTGAAGACAACGACGGAATCCAAGAAATCTGAAATAATTCGCCAATTCTTATCGAAGTGTATTTCAACCGAAGTGAGTTATGCATCGTATCAATTTTTGCAACAATAAAATTGGCCTAAAATGTGCTTTTATCAAAAGTTTGTGGGTTCTACATCTTCATTGAGGACTGAAAACATACAATTCATAACTAAGTGATAGTCTAAACTCAGACATGACGATTTGATAACCGTTTGGTAAAAAATTTTAATTATATCGGTGATATTTACCAGGCAAACAAAGTTTCCCTCAGACCATTTATCGTTATCTAATCGCTCTAATTTATCGTTACCCAATCGCTCTGACGAAGGGCAAACGCTCGAAACGTCAGCCTTTAAGCTCTTTACGGTGGCCAATTTACGTAATCAACTCAACTGATAACACTAAATTTTATTTATCGTTACGATACGTTACTACTGAAGTTCGCGCTACCGGTCATAGTAACTGTTTACAATAAAACAATAAGGTAGGTGCTTTGAAATGCATATATATTGTACACTTCTGACCTCTTATCAGCCTTGAAATTTGAAAAGTTATCGACACTGAATTGACTGCATGTGATACTTTGTATTCAGGTGTTTTTAACTTTACCTTCCATTTCTATTTGACTCTCTAAATTTGGAATTATTTCTCTATAAATGAAAGATCCTGCATGCAAAGAATTGTGTGAGTCATCGAAGTCAACCCACCGATCTTCATTGGGAAGTCTTTCCTCTGGTGGTGATTTCCAGAATCCGACGTAAAAATCAACATAGGTCGTAGAACTGAGATGATTTCCGGTGTACTCACCATCATCGGTTCAAATATTTTTGTTCGACAGATACAAGTTAACTCAACCTAGAGTCTGACAGGAGCGCAATTCTACGATTATTGATATATTATGGGCGGGTGGTGGCGGTTTGTAAAACAATAGGTTGGAGGGACTTTTGTCCCTTATTGGTGAAATTGCACAGTGCACAGCTTACGAGTTGTAATCGAAATACTAAACCTTTGTTCGCCGATTAGGTATGTAGTGCACACGAATGGAGACTTCATATCTTTGACTATGCGAGCTATACCTGTGAAGTTAACCATAATTGAGTGCATGCCCAATGTGCCGCCAGTGTAGTTATGGCCCGCCGGGACGGCTGTGACTTAAAGTGGGACGGGGACGCGAGGGCTGGGACTCGAGGAAGTGGGCCTTGGAGACCTGGACGAGGAACGAGGACGCGGGACGCGGGGACTCGGGGACGTGGGACTAGGAGACGTCGGACTCAGGGACGTGGGACTAGGAGTCGTCCGACTCAGGGACGTGGAACTAGGAGACATAGGACTCAGGGACGTGGGACGCGGGGACTCGGGGACGCGTGGAGACTCGGAAACGTGATGAATAAACCTTATTTTTGGGTTGAATTTGTGAAGTATGATTATAAAGATCGAGAAGAAAACACGGTTACTTACCAAGAAAGTCCTCCATAGCTGCCCACGATGTTTTTAACAGTTTCAAGACCCCTTGCGTTGAAACTATTCTGTACCCAGAGTTATCACGGTCAAATAGGCAAGCAAACATGTCCGGCCGAGCCATGGACGCTGAAAACCATTGGCTACTACTAACTTGAGTCCCACGTCCCCGAGTCTCACGTCCCCGAGTCTCACGTCCCCGGGTCTCACGTCCTCGAGTCTCACGTTCCCGAGTCTCACGTCCCCGAGTCTCACGTCCCCGAGTCTCACGTCCCCGAGTCTCACGTCCCCGAGTCTCACGTCCCTGAGTCTCATGTCTCAGATTCTCAAGTCCCCGAGTCCCACGTCCCCGAGTCTCGGGTCTCCGATTCTCATGTCCCCTAGTCCCACGTTCCCGAGTCTCACGTCCCCGAGTCTCACGTCCCCGAGTCTCACGTCCCCGAGTCTCACGTCCCCGAGTCCCACGTCCCAGTTACAGTTTAGGCACAGTCCGCCAGAAGGAAGAAAAATATATCGGTTTCCTCAGTACGGTAAAGAAAAAAACTCAAATTTCGGATTTAAAAGGTATAGTGTTGACAAGGTCTTATAGTTGCAAGGCATTTCGAACAGTTAACGAGCAGGAGAAATAATCAAGGAAGCTTCTAAGTTGATTAGATTAGTACTCATGGGAAAATGTCAAATTCTTAATTGATTTGAAGGTGTGACAACCTCAGACGGAAAAGTAGTTGTTTGCGACTTTTTTCTCTTCGCCGCTCTTCTCCCTAAATTTTATCACAAGAGAGGAAATATTGAGAAGACACGAGTTCGGTGATTCATAGGTGTGTCAGCTTTGAAAAAAGATAGCCCTTGAACTAACTCACATCTGATTCGCGTCCGTTAAATTCTTCGTGCGCCAGATGCCTCCGAAAGATAGGGGGAATAGGAGCATTGGAAGTATGGTGTAGTAGAATGATACAATCAGGAGCTGCGTATCTTTACTGAACAGGAACAAGAATTGACCATTTCACCAAAAATCATCGGCGCCGAATCTTTGCAAGAGTCAACACATTCTTTTGCTGGACCCTCTGGAGAATCACCTCCTGAGAGGAAACTTAAAGGTATGAATAAATTGGTGCATCATCAAGGGTTTATACGTGACGCGTGATGAAGGCCAAAGTTAAGATGTAACGCGTGAATTTTACTGAAAGGTTCACGTTATTCGTGAATTTACGAAACTTTTTGAGGCCTGAAGTATACTTGAACTCTGAATTTTTTTTTCTATAGCGTGAAAACCTTAAGATTTCCCTGAAACTATGCACATATGAGGAGAGCTTTCAAATTTTCCCTTTTATATCCGTGACGCGTGAACTGATTTTTCGAAAATTCGTCGTAGGCTGCAATATCCTCTCTCATCTCGAATTAGTTCCTCCATCTATAGGAAAGGTTGAGTTAAGTTAAACTTCAGTAAAACATTATCTGCGCAAAAGCCAAGCTGGCCTTGTTACACCAGGACCTGTTCAAATCATAGTCAAGATAGTGTTGATGAATTCATATATCCTGTTTTGAAAATGTTCATATGATGTAACTTCTCTTCTTTTAACTTTTCAGATCCATACATACAGAAGGAGACCTTACAAACCCCTGTAATTGTACACTGATCTGTTTCAAGGCAAATGACACCAAGACAGTGAAAGAGTAATTTTCTTGGATGCTATTGAATCAACAGTGGTGCATCATCTTGTAAACAGAAGGAAGAGGAGTCAAAAATCTCAAGTCTTGTATCGTCAGTTGAAATGGAAATTACTGAACAGGTAACTTCGTGGAAAAACATTTATCTCATACGAATTATTTACGATATCGTCACTCGGTGATGGTGATGTAAATTCAGCTTAAAGTGTCCTCATTCCTTGGTCGTCTAACTTTAAATTTGTTTAAAAATGAACGGATCATCTTATTCTGCAACAAATGAGCTCTTTATGCCTACAGCATTGGACGTCAAGGCGTGCAGAATTTTTGCAGTACGGGACGTCAAGGCGTGCATAATTTATGCAGCACTGGACGTCAAAGCGTGCAGAATTTCTACAGCAGTGGAGGTCAAGGTGTGCAGAATTTATGCAGCATTGGACGTCAAGGCGTGCAGAATTTCTGCAGCTTTGGACGTTAAACCTCGCAGAATTTCTGCATCATGGACGCCATACCATGCAGAATTTCTGCAGCACTGGACGTCAAGGCGTGCAGAATTTTTGCACGCTTCGGCCGTCAAACCTTGCAGAATTTCTTCAGCATTTGACGTCGTACCTTACAGAATTTCTGCAGCATTAGACGCCATACTATGGAGATTTTCTGCACCATTAGATGCCATACCATGGTGAATTTCTGCAGCATTGGACGTCAAACCATGGAGAATTTCTGCAGCATTGGACGCCATACCGTGGAGAATTTCTGAAGCATTGGACGTTGTCATAAACAGTCACGCGTATTTGTTATGTAATCAAAGTCGTCACGCTTTTCGTTTTGTTTGTACAAAGAGAGCACATGACAACAACTTGATTTACTGGTTTTTGTAGGATATCAAATTTAGTGTGTATATTAGGGGCGTGTGATTTAACTCGAGGGGTTCTTTCTGTACGATATCAGAGTGGAATAAATCAGAATTTATACGAAACCAATTACGACTACTTCGTGTTTATAATAGACGTCAAACCTTGCAGAATTTCGGCATTACAGTTCGTAATACCATGTCAAATAAAATTGAAAAGAAAAGCCGCTTAAACATTTTAAGGGTTAAAATCAAAGACTTTATCGTTCCATTTAAACGAGCAGACCATTAACAACCAACGCAGTTAAAAGTTGAATATTTGTATGAGTAAAATGCACCTACGTTCAACTTTCCGTTGAATTATACAAAATGTTGCTCTTTTGAGGCAACACATTTTCTTAATCCGTGAAAAGTGAAGCATTTTGCTTTTATTACATAGGAGAAATTTCCGTGTTTTTTGCCTAAATAGTGCTGCTTTGAAGCCAACATTTTACAGTGTCTGGAAAGAAGCACGATATTTTACGGAATCGACATGAAAAATATGCCTAAAAGGTCCATTTTTCACGGGAAATGCTATTTTGGAAAACACAAAATAGTTGGGAAAGCGTTTTAAGTGGAAATATATTCCTTGAGTGGAAATGTTCCTTAAAAGTATACATGTCCTAAAGAGAGGTTCTAGCCGGAAATGTGATAATCTTCATGTCGAATTAGTGTAGTTAAACGAATAAGGTGGATACTTTTACGCATGTCACCCTGAACTTCGTTGAAGGGTAACAACATACATGCAACATAAAAAATAAAAAGACACTGTAAGTTACCTTTGGTTGCAGTTGGTGCTGCTGTCGTCTGAACAACCTGCTTCGTTACGGTTATATCTCCCGTCAGCCTCAAAAATCCCAGTTCGCTCGAACCATTACCTTCTCTAAGAGCTTGCACGATGTTGCCATTAGTCACAGTTGAGGTTGTTGGAAATAGCAATTCATAGTCAACGCCAACACTTCCTTTGAAAAAACGCTCATAACTAATATCTATGAAATCTGGAAATTTCTTTTTGAAAAATGGTTTTAATTTCGAGTCCAAAACTGTCATGAGGGCACGAGATCTTGGTGAGTTGATGTCATCATAGTCCTCTTTATAATCTTGATCCAGTTTCACTGTGCCGGTAAATGTTTGGGTAGGCGTCTCTGTATAAAAAAGATCAACAATAATATATCAACATATTGAAATGATTGAAAAAAAACAGAGAAGAAACAGCGAAAACGACATATTAGACTCAGATACAAGTCAAACGCCTCGATTTGAACTGAGGACGACAACATCCACAGGGAGCATGCAAGAACAGAGTACGAGGTCCAAGAAGGGATAAGAAAGCTTGCAAGAACACGGATCAAATTATTTGCTGTTTTCCTTTTCAAGTGCTGTATTCATTCAGCCTGCTTTCATTCAACAAGGTACAATACTGCACACAGCAATGCAAACGACAGTCGCAGATTATCGAGAAAATCGCCGATTTATCGACGACATTCGGACAGTGATTAAGCTGGAATGATCGGCGATTTGTAATAATAGTAATGATGACGATGATAACAATAATAATAATGATAATGACAATAATAATTATGACGATGATAATATAATAATAATAATACTGAATATTTATACAGGGTAGCCCCCCAGCGCATAGATAGCTCTTACCATCGAATCCGTTTAGTATTTTTGGTTTTCAAAACAGCACCATATCAGTTTTACCTTTCTTGAGATTGATGATAAGTTCGTTATCTCGAAACCAACGAGCGAAAGGTTGTGTTTGATAGCATCCAAATTTTTCGAGGATGTGAAAATAACCTTATCATCTGCGAAGGTGATAATTTTAGAGTAACGGAGTGGCATGTGGATGTCATTAAAGTGAATTAGAAACAAACGGAGAGCGTCAGATCCAATCTGGTCGCTGAAGGTTTGCGATATCGAGAGATCAATTGTGAATAAGAATGAACCTGTTCTATCTGAAGGATGAACCAAAGTGTGGTTCCGTTGGAGAAGAGCTTCAGATTGTTCCTTTGGAACTGAATTTTCCTCTGAAGGAATTCGCGGATCAAATTCTTCGCTGTTTTCCTTCTCAAGTCCTGTATTCATTCATTCAAATTTATCAGTTATCAACGTATCATGTAGTTGGGGAACGGGTACAATACTGTGCATAGCAATGCAAACGACAGTCTTTATGAAAGTGTGGTTCCGTTGGAGAAGAGCTTCAGAGTTTCAGATTGTTCCTTTGGAACTGAGTTTTCCTCTGAAGGAATTCGTTGATTTGAAAAAAACTATTAAAATGAGTTTCTCAATAGACCCAAGCAATCCTAATGAATCAATTCAAAAGACTGATAAAGATATGAACAACAAAAAGATCGTCAATCTTGCCAATCCAGTTGACAATGAAGACGCAGCAAACAAGAAGTAGGTTGATGAAAAACGGAAACAATTGATTTATTCTCTTTTTTGTCAAAATATGCAAAAAGAAGTTTCTCATGGAGACATTCATCAAAGAAAAAGCAATCATGCTGGTATCATACACACAAAAACTCACACGGCGAAGTTCTTATCAAAATAAACTTTGTGCCACTGCTGTCGATCAATCAGAATTGTACAATCATACAACACAAAACAGAAAATTTCACGGAGACCTAGAATATCCACTTCGAAAAACAGTGAAAGACACTTTTTCTCTTTCTCTAAAGACAGTCTTCGATCTCCCAATCAAATTGTCCTCTTCTTTTCCGCATCGTCTCTGTTTTGCTATCGAGCAAAAAACAAGTTGAAATATCCTTTGATTGGAAATAGAATCTAGTGGACTTCTCTGTCAAGAGAGTCAGAGTATTAAACAATTGGTGGAGTAAAAACATTGAGACAAAAAAGAGCACACTTTTGGATTTATCATACTGATTTTGAAGGAGGAGTAAGGTATGTTTAAAAAAAATGGACTTTTGTCCAAAAACATACCCAACAGCTCCGGGGAGATGGAAAATTACCAGCTGTCATTGCGTGAAAGAGACTGACAACGATTCAAGCGTTCATGCTTCTTCTTTCTGGTTCAATAATGAAAAACTTATCAACTTTTCTGCAACCCCTACAACAGAGGCAGAATTCGTGTAGAGGAGTTACACAAAAGTAGCTGGAGATCGTTTTCAGAAATGACTGAAATCAGACTGTCATACTCTCCTGATATACAAATACACAATTTTGACAGAAAAAACAATCAAGGCACATCAAGACTTCCTTGCGAGAAGATACAACATTGATATATGAAAATCTTCACGCCAACAATCAACGCTATTTCAGCGATGCTGATGGCGTGACAAGAGAATCATTCAATATGATAATATTCATACCCTCTTCAATACTCACCTGTGAAAAATGCAAGTAACCTTTGAAAGCAAGGTTGATTTCAAAACGTGCAACAGCTTTTTTTTTAATCAACCTTAATTTCAAGCTAAGATTCGGGATTTGCCTTTAAATCACGGTTAACTTAAAGAAAACGTCAGAACCCGCTTTTACTAACTACTACGCGCGCACATGTATTATTCCCTGTTTAGCAGTACTTCGATGGAACGATATATTACTGGAACGGAAAGTGTCAGACAGACCCATACCTGATTGGCAGGTTGTCCCTTCAAACGCTGAAGTACATGTGCATTTGAACGTTTCACCAACTTCTCTGCAAGTTCCATCGTTTTCGCATGGGTTTGGATTACAGGCACTGAGTTCTAAGGGTAAAGACGCGAATAATTCAGACGGGATTAAGACAGAATGTTTAGGTATATGTGTTAGACATGTGTTATCTTCATTGGTATAACCAAATACATTTTCTCGTTTCAAATCAAATTAGTGCCCATAATTGCTAAGCTTTCGCTAAATTTTCAAAGAAGTAGACGTAAGGTCGCTTATTGACAATCGCCTTCAAGTCTAAAATCATCAATATCCTTCAATGCGGCTACACTCAGTAGACACTTCAAAATGAAAGAAATGTGAGCTGAATATAAAAAAAAATTTTAAAATTTTAAAAAGTGACAAATACAGAGAAAATTTATTTGCCTTAAATTGTCCTCACTCAAATTCAATCAGATATTTCTTTGCTTTTTCGCAAAAGTAGAAATGGTTTGTAAGTTAAAAGTTTCGCTATGAACATCTAACGAAACTTACTTTTCTCACAGTTTTTTCCGAAGTAATTGTTTTTACATTCACATATAAAACCATTTATTCTGTCAAGGCAGTCTCCATTTCCTGAACAGTTTTCGTATTCACAGTCATCAATATCTATGACAGCAAAAAGAAAAACAATAGCAACATGTAGCAATGTTACAGGTGCTGGTATCGTATGAAAAACAAAATCTAAATGCATTCAACACTTACCTTTGGAGCAATCATTTCCTGTAAATCCTGAAGGACACGTAGGTGCTACCGTTGGAATAATGCTAGTCACCGTTAGAGCCATTTCGCTAGCAGATGGTGATGGCATCATATGCACCATTGATGACATGTCACTTGCAGGCGAGGATGGCATCGTTTGCACCATTGATGACATGTCACTTGCAGATGGGGATGGCATCATATGCATCATTGATGAAATGTCACTTACCGATGGGGATGGCATCGTATGCACCACTGATGTCATGTCACTTGCAGTATGTGATGGCATCATTTGTATCGTTGATAACACGTCACTTGCAATTGGGGATGGCGTCATATGCATCATTGATGACATATCACTTGCAGATTGTGATGGCATCATATGTGTCATTGATGACATGCCACTTGCAGATGGGGATGGCTTCATAGGATTCATTGATGACATGTCACTTGCAGATGGGGATGGCGTCAAAGGATTCATCGATGACATGTCACTTGCAGATGGGGATGGCGTTATAGGATTCATTGATGACATGTCTCTTGCTGATGAGGATGGCGACATAGGATTCAATGATGACATGTCACTTACAGATGGGGATGGCGTCATAGGATTCATCGATGAAATGTCACTTGCAGATGGGGATGATGTATTGGCAAATCCTGCTGATACAGATTCGACATTTTAACCACATGAAAAATTTATCTTTAGTTGCGCCTACCTTCCAACAAAGAATTACATTTAAGTTCATAGTACTGAGTCTGTATCGACTTACCACCTGGTAGTGTTAACAGGATGCATGTAACAAGAGCAACAAATTTCTTCTTAAGACGCTGAGCCATCTTTGTCATTTTGCGGTGGAGAGAGTGCCAAATGCTGTCAAAGATGATTGGCTGAATTTCCTCTTATAATGATCTCTGTGATATCAATTCGTGGCTGGCGAAAGCTTGTGTGCAAAGGGAGAAAAAAGAGCCGTTAAAATGTTAACAATATAACATGACCCTAGGGAGAATAATGTCCAATTGTTTTCTCTTGCGTGACCTCAATATTTCTGTAAAATCTAATATCGCTAATAATGCCTTTTATTCCTATTCTTCTGTAATCGTTTGGAGAAAGCCTCATGGTTTCATTTAGGTTTCCTCTTCATAGATTTTATTCAACCCAGCTCATTATGCTTCCTTGTAAATTTTTATCGTACTTTGGCAAAGAAATAAATAGAAAATGAATAGATGAATACAAATCATGTTAGAAGACAAAACAGTTTTTATTTTGCGAGATATTTTTCGACATTAGCCATGACCTCTTCGGTTTCCAATGCTCGTGTAGCTAAAACTCTATTTAGGAGACGAAATAAATTCCGAAATCCTGATTGCAAAATGACAACAACACTGGACCTTGTGGTTTTGTGTTTTCGGTCAGGCAACTTATCTATATGCATGTGTATAATTTATGTAAACAATAATTGTTAAAAGATCTGACGTATATATTGATAAAAGATCGATATATATCATGGACCCGCCGGAAGTTTAAACTTATCCCGGTGCAGCACATGAAAAGCAAATTTAAAGAGTAGTAATGGACAAAATGCAATATAACAGATAACAACACGGAAAAAAATTTTTTTTGCAATATTTTATCAAAAAAATATAAATATGATAGAGCTTCTCAATGTGAACGGAGCGACTACATAGTATTCAGACATTTCATACATACAAATAATATTTTATGAGACCTAGGATCGACATGGTTGCGACAAAAAATGAGTCGATGAATATAAATTTATACGGAATAGATAAAGAGATAAATCAAGTAGTCAAATAAAAGCGGTAATATGTAAATTGTTGGAGAACATACTATCAGCAAGCAAATTTCATTCCAAGATTATACCAAGATTACGGTCTTAAGAAGTTGGAGAGGCATAAAGAGTGATTTCTTAAATTTTCATTTTATTATTTGATGAGCGTTGTTTGTTCTACTCCCAATCTTACAAAGGAATTATAGAGATTCTAAGTAAATTTACCTTGCCTCGACCTTGATTATTCTGGTTATCACAAAATCCTCATCCAATAATTTTTTTTATAAATACTTCAGTTTATGATCATGATGCAAAAAAGCCTCTCTACTAATGAATTAAGTAACCCTTCTTCCTTCCACGTTAACAATATCCAGCGACATTAATCGGTTAAGAGGAATGAGTGATATTCACGATTTTCACTAAGTAATTTTCCGGGTCATTTCATGTTTTTGTATGTTACCTATACATACAGGAAAGGTTGGAGACTGTCTCTTCCTCCCTGGTTGCGAGCCTCAATTCCGACGGTGTATAAGATCGTGATGAAGATATTAAAGCCAAAAGAACGACACTGTTTCGCTGAGCGAGTAAATCTGGAGCGAAAATGAAATGTTTTGGTTTAGGCCATTAATAAATAAACGTGTTTTGAAAAGGTGATCCAATATGCTTAATGAGAAAGTAAAGTAGACTAAACTGTTATGAGTATGGCTACCAATACGGAATAGTTATTATGCAAAAAGTTACCGGTTTGTCTGAGTTCTATTGTTCCTTTATATTTCAATTGAAAAGTTGGTGTGTTTGCGCATTATAACTGTCAAGTTGTATAATAGTACTAGAGCTATTTTTGGATTATACATGTCTCTTTGATGAGCGCAAAATGCAAATTCGCAAGAGGCTGTTTAAGAATATCGTGACGTTTGTGGAAAGCATCCTTTATCTTTATAACGATGGGGGAAAAAACGAAAAAAAGAAACGAGTAGCCAGAATGAATAAAAATGGACAAATGTCTTGATGCTGAAAGATTACGTTTATTTGTTCGGAACAAGTACTGATCTCAAACTTAGTTCCTATCAAAGAGCTGAACAACATTTGAAACTGAAGTAGAGGTTTATCAATGCACTGCACGTTTGTTCTGCGGTTAGCTTCGCAAAGTTATATGTACAAGCTGAGACAATTTGACAGGAAAATATAAATTCCTCTTCAGAGTGCGAAGAGCAAGATATAACCCAAACTTTGTTGTTGATCATGTTCCCTGATGGCTTATCTTTAAATTTAAGTTTTCAACGCTCATTCCAGTTTTTTATATCTATTCTTGCTGTCTGCGGAATTTTCTTCATGTTTATTTACCCAGAAAAGATGCCTTACGTTTGAAAATAAACCTAACGTAAGAAACCCACGAATTCGTCACACATTTTTTAAATTCTTTCTTGAAAAAATTTCCGCGTTGGTCAAACAATAATTGTTAAGATGCGAACTCCTATTGGTAAATTCTCAATGACTTCCCCAACGAAATTTTGTTTTTGTTTGTTTTCAAGAGGTTAGTTTCTAAGGAATTTGATCTGTTTTCTGTCACATAAAATCACTAACGTTGCAGTAAAACCTAACAGA